GAATACCCCAGCCCGCCAAGCCGGCTGGGGAATTCTGGGAGTTGAAGTCCACACATCTTAAAGTGGCCAAGGCTGAGAAACACTGCTCTGGGGCTTTATATGACTTACAGATTGCTGTAACTGAATTCTCTTCCCTTTGCTCTAAGTTCTGATGTTATAAATGACTTTAGAGGCCATTTCAGGGAGGGAAATGTGCTTGATAAATGCACATATTGACCAATAACCCTGGTTGGAATACATGCACCATTTTTAGATAAATGCTAAAAGGGTTGGCGGGGTTGCAGGGAAAAGAGAATTTCTTTGGAGCGGAGAAGCAGGTCAGCCAAATTCTCATCTCTTCTTCCAACTGTCCAGGAGTGGTAGTCTGTGAAGAGCCCAACAGCCGGTTACATACCTTTGTCGGCACTCTGGAATGGCATGGACAGAAATACTCCCTTGATAGCGAGAAAATCCTGTTGCGTGGCTGCAGAATACGTAACACAGAGGTCTGCTACGGCCTTGTTATTTATGCAGGTAAGTGAGCAAGATCAGGCTTGTTTTCCATGGAATCAGAGCTGGAAGGGATCTTAGAGGTCACCTAGATCAACCCTGCTATACAATGCAACGCCTTTAAATACGATGCAGCTCCCACAGTGGAACATTTGCAAATCAATGGCTCAGGGCAATCGGCCATTGTCATCTCTCTCCAGCAAAAAAAAAAAAAAAAAGATATCATTGACTATTCTGTCATCCATTCAGAGGTATTTCCTTAGCTTTTTGAAATCCTGTTTCTCTGTAATGTGCCAGTCCTGCTGTCTGGAGAAACAGGAAACTGAGTTGCTCCATCTTCTCTTCAGCAGCTGGTCAGAGGCATCTTGTCAGCCTTACCAGCTAGACCAGACAGGAAACATGACCAGATGGTATTTCCTTAGCTTTTTGAAATCCTGCTTCTCTGTAATGTTAGTCCTGCTGGCTGGAGAAACAGGAAACCAAGTTGCTCCATCTTCTCTTCGGCAGCTGGTCAGAGATGTCAGCCTTACCAGGTAGACCAGATAGGAAACATGGCCAGATTAGCTAATTTTACTTCATTGTAAAGCTACATTGCAGAATCTTGCAAGTCTGAAAGTGCAATTCTCCCCCGTCTCCTTTACACCTTGAGAAATTAGGGTCTCTTCTGGCCCTCTTTCCCCACCCACTATCTAGCTGGGGGCTACACTGTCTCTTATCTGACCGTTCCCTAGGCAGCATCTCTTCACTCCGTCTCCCAAGGTCTTTCCCACATACCATTACACATCTGAAGGGAGAAAGGCCACTTATCAGTGGTGCCACAGAAGCCACTTGCCACCTTAACTGGAGATGGATTGGCCAGCTCTGTGTCTTTGTCTTCCCCTTCCCCTTAATCCTTTCTTCTCCAGTCTAAACTTCTCCATAATCTTTTAACCAGCCCCAGCTTACTTCTTCCAAATGAACTTTTATTTTGGATCAGATGCCAGCCCACTTCTGTGGCATTCTTGTTCTTCTCTGCTCCTATTTCTACATTTCCTCAAGCAGGAAGTGTTAAAAGAAACTGACCGTACCAGTTCATGCTTTTCTGCCTCTGGAAGAATCTCAAATAGGATCTTTGTTGCTTCACTTGAAACCAGCTGCACCCGAGTCTGTGGTGAGATGCTTACAAACTGGTTTGAAATGGTTTAGTTTTAAAATTAAAACTAGGTAGGTAGTTTGTTAGGTCCATTTATTTATCTATCAATCAGGATCTAATAGAGTGCCAGCTGTCAACATTATTTAAAAATGGTCATTGGTGGCAGCCTGGCCCTTTGTTTGAGCGTAGGCCCATCTGCCCCCAAACATCAAACATTAAACTGGGATGACACAGAGCTCTGAATGGTAGACAATCCAGTTTGCATTTGGTGGCTGGTTTCTCCCATTGTGGTAGCTGTGTTTATTTTGTTTTAATCTAACCATTTCAAATGACTCTTTTGCAGGTTTCGATACTAAAATCATGAAAAACTGTGGAAAGATCAGCTTAAAAAAAACAAAACTCAGCCGTCTGATGGATCGTCTTGTGCTAATGGTAATAGCTACCTACTATTCAAGGTTTCTATGCCAGGAGGAACTGGAAGGATGAGAGAGGAACCTGGTTCTACCTAGCAGCAGCATCTGAAAGGGGGTCAAAAAAAGCAGGATGGCAGCAGCACAACCAAAGCCCCACCCCTTTGAACATGAGTGTGACACTGACACATGTATAAAAGGGATAGGGTTTCAATTGCATTGCTAAAGCCACCATCTTGCCTTTTTTGACACCCCCCCCCATCAAATGCCACTGCTACTTTCTCAGAGGACTTTGTTAGAAATGTTCAGGCTCAGCTTCATTATCCAACATCTGCTTGTAACATCCCTGAGAACTATTTCCACAAACCTTGAAGTTCTCTCTTGCGTATAGATAAGATGTTTTAACTGTCTAAAGGTGTATTTATTATTTCTTTCTTTCCAATATTTCTATCCTGCTGACTCTACAACTGACATAAAACCACTGAAAAACAATTCACGTCAACATAAACACTGGGTGTCCATAAAATGTGATCCTGTCCAATTCTAAAAATCATAAATACTTCATACTCATTAAAAGCTCTAGTTCCCAATGATGACTAAGAGAGGGAGCAAACAGCATCTTGCTGCAGTTACAAGTCCAACCTTTTAGTAAATTCACTGATTTGTCTCATGTAAGATGTTGGTACACAGTAGGGGGGACATTTCCTTCCCAAGCCAAAGAAAGTACTTTTATTTCAGTGCACAACTGATGTGTAATTCACTCACACAGCGATGCCTCATAGCTAGCTCTTCCATCAAATGCTTTCCTGAATACACTTTTTCAGCAGAAGAGCTAAATTAGGGATCATTCAGATTATATCATTTGATACCACTCTCATAATTGAGCTTCTATTGCAGTGTTTCTCAACCTTGGCAATTTGAAGATGTGTGGACTTCAACTCCCAGAATTCCCCACACATCTTCAAGTTGCCAAGGTTGAGAAATATGGTTCTATTGAGAGGCCCTCCTTAGGCCAGGAAAATGATTATATCAGGGAGAAAGCTCATTTACAACTCTTCTTCCTGTCCTGCTAGATTTCAATGTACACAGAGTGCCTTATTTGGCAACCGGGAACTATTTATTTATTTGGCCACGCCAACCTGTACAACTCTAGGCAGTAGACATTCAAACATATCTTCCCCCAGGGTATTTGAAGAGACACCTAGACCCCAACTGATAATTTAAATAAGTTTATTACTTCTGTGAAAAAGAAATCCCTCTCCTTTAAAAAAAAATAGAAGATGGGAATGAACTGTATTTATAACTTTCCTAGATTTTATTAAAAAACAGCAATAAACATTTCTTTAAAGTCTATTGCAAGATTGGCTGCTCCTGCAAAGAAGGTATGCTCCCTGGGTGTAGAAAAGGCTCAGGTTAGGGAATCCTGGACAAACATGCTTGCTGTCTGCAGGGAAAAATATTCAAATGGAAATTGAACTGAATCATTCTACAGGTACTCCTTATTTAGTAACCACAATTGGGACCAGCAACTTGGTCATTAAATGAAGCAGTTGCTAAGTGAAACCGCAACTGTGCTTATGATCTTACTTCAGCTTTCCTTTGCTTTACAGACCTGCAAAGGTTGTAAATGTGAAGATTGGTCACAAAGTTACTTTTTCACCACTGTCATAACTATGAACAGTCACTAAATGAGGCAATTGCTAAACAAGGACTACCTGTATATGCCAAATGCTACATTAGTCACTTTCTGTATACTTTGCATTGTACTGAATGGATCTGGAGGATGCCAGGTTGGGAAAGGCCTGGCCTGTATGCTGACTGGCAGTTGCTCTTTTTTGATTTGGGTGGAATATTTATCCACTTTTATTTAGAAATGCTGAAGGTTGGTCCTGAGATCTTCCTTCACAACCCTTCTTCAAATTAAGCTAATTACATTCTTATTGTTCTGTGTTTCCATAGATCACAGTGTCTCTCTTTCTGATATCCTTCAGCCTTGCTGTTGGCTCAGGAGTATGGGCCACCAAGTTCCTCCAGGAGCACAGCTACCTTTTTGTCTTCTACAGCCACACCAGTGCAGTCAGCTATGCATTCTTTGCATTCTGGGGATTCCTCATCCTCCTCAGCCTGGTCATCCCCATGTCCATGCTCATCACGTATGTTTTGACCCTTTCTTTTCTTACACTTGGGGTGGAGAGCCTATAATCCTCTGAATGCTGCAGAGATACATCTCCGAACATCTCTCACTCTTGGCTGGAACTGTTAAGAAACTGCTGTAGCTCAGCGATCCTAGAGGTCCATAGCTTCCCCACCTGTTTCCTGCTTGAATCTGATGGGCCCGCTGTGGGGCACTGGGTTGGCTTTGACTTATAATATAATGTTTCCTTCCATGGAAATCCTTTTCCTGGAAAAATGCAGTCTTATTGGCTGAGGTTTTATTTCTGCTGGTCAATGGCAGTGATGTCCACATCAACTGGAAACTGTGGAGCTGGACTTCCTGTTGGAGAATTGATATGTACTGTAGCTGAAAACTTTTCTGTTAATAGAATATGTTCCTTTGGTCTGATGACTTATGGAAGTGGCAGCAACATGGTACCCAAAATGGCAGCAATGGAGATTCCCCAGTTATTTTAAAACATATCCTTAATTGCCCAAATCTCTCGACTGCAAAATGTCATGAAAGTTTGGGTTCTTGTAAGAAATCCTGTAGGATCTCAGGTGGGAACATGATAAGCTCATGAGATTTTGCCTGCAACTGTATGTGAGATTTCAAGGTCTTTCTATGAACTCAAGTGAGAGTTCATTGTTTTTAGACATACTCTCAGTCTTGTGCAGTTTAAATATCTTGACATTTGAGGCAATTTCTTTCTGACTGTAATGAAGAGATTTATGGCAAGTTTTAATCTGCAAGTTTACTTAGTCAGTTGCACCATTTTAAAGTAATTTTATAGCAAATACAAAATTTTAACCTCAACAATTAGGGAATATTTTTTCTCAGTTTTATATTGTAAGCAGATATATTTTGAAATTAATAATTGACAACAGGTAAGCGTGGGAGAAGATTAAAAAAAATTACATAGACTGAGAACATCTGAACCTTCACTCTCTGTCTCCTGCCTCTGCACAAGAAATGCAGCTAATATTAACCATATCTATTGCTTATTTCCAACACTTCTACTTTTGAGTGTTTCCCACCATCTTAGAAATCCCAGAAGGGAGATTGCAACCTGACCTCCTGTGGTCTCCCACCTCTTGAACTGCTCAGTTAAACAGTGGAAACAGGTGAATAACTGGGGCATTAGAGCTGCGAAATGGATGATAAGGGGAGAGGCACATGAAGAGACCCCATAGCTAAAGATTTCTCAGCTTTGATTCATTGTGACTAGCAGCAGTTCTCCGGAGTTTGAAACCAGAATCTTTCCCAGCCCTTCCTGGAGATTTGAAGGATTGAATAAGGACTCTTTGCACCCAAAATCTGCTGACTACATCTCCTTGTTTCTTTCTCAAGTCCAGCCAAAAGAGAGCATGACATCTCCTCTGCCTTCCTGATCATTGATGTCCCTCTTCTGTAGGTTTGAATTTATCTACCTGGTCAACAGCTGTTTCATCAACTGGGACATGGAAATGTATTATGCAGAGAAGGACACACCTGCCAAAGCTCGGAGCACAAGTCTGAATGACCAGTTGGGGCAGATAGAATATATCTTCTCAGACAAAACAGGCACTTTAACTCAGAACATCATGACTTTCAAGAAATGTTGTATCAATGGAACCATCTATGGTAATGTTGGCTTGGAAATGAATGGATTCAGAATCCAGGCAAATGTATTGGTAATTTTAAAATGCTGAGATTTGCAAACACCTGAATGAGTTGGAGGATTCAAATGAGTTTGAATCGTGTTGATAGATTCTTGTTTACGCGTATTTATAATACGCAGTTGTAGTTGAGCTGATCCACGGATCGAAAAGTCCAAAATCTATAGCTGGGTGATTCTTTTATTACAAGTACCCAAAAGGACACAAGAGAGCATGCACGTTTTTGAGTTATCCGGGTCTCTTTATCAGGCAAGATGTTCTAGAAGAAAGAGGATAGGAAAGAAAGTGAAAAAGTCCAAAATTAGGCCAGCAGGAAGTCTGAGTGACGATGGTTGGGTTGGGATCTGAATACCATCCTAGTGTCAGACGTTGTTGGTGTCCGATTGTATCCAGGTTCCAGCAGAGAGGGAAATGGTTGCATTCATTCCACCTTTTTGCTAAGGAGCATAAGGCAGGCCAGACTGCTAACTCCTTCTCCATATTTATCCTCACAACAACCGTGTGAGATAAATTAGGCTGTGAGAGCATGACAGGCCCAAGATCGCTCAGCCAGTCTTGTGGAATGTGTGAATGTGAACCCAGGTATCATAGAATCCAAACCTTTTAAAAATGGAAGCTACATAGGAAATGATAAGGTCCATCTCAATGCTCAGCAAGGGAATCTTCCAGTTGGATCTCTGGTAAGCAATTATCTAGCCTTTGTGCAAATATGTCCAGCAAAGATAATGCCACCATCTCCTGTGATCTGTTGCCAAACAGCACAGGTGATCAAGAGGTTTGATCAAAAGCTTTCATCAAATTCCCCTTTCTTGTATTTCAGCTCTAAGTTGGAGTCACACCGTCTAGAGCTGCAGTATTCAAACTGTGTTCCCCAGAACCCCAGGGTTCTCTGAGAATCATCCAGGGGTTCAACATGACAGTATACTCTTATGATTACAGTGAAACTGTAAGATCTTCATTTCTTTGTTTCGTTTAAGAGAGAGAAGTCTGTGACAAAGTATTACAAGAAACATTTATTAATGGGTTCCACACTGATTTTTCACATTGAAAAAGGTTCCTCAGGTATCTCACGTTTGGAGAGAATACGTGTAGCTCAGGGTTGAACTGTGGAGTCCTTGGGGTTCTCTAAGCTTGGTTGTTTTCTTGCAAATGTTTCATTACCCGGCTAGGGAACATCTTCAGTGTTAGAGCAAACATTCCAC